AACGACTGAGCCACCCAGGCACCCACACTGCCTGTTTCTTGAGCAATGGTCTCTAAATGTTTTGATTGCCTAGGCAGTAAGACATTTTTTAGGCGGGCCTCCATTTAGTATTGGTGATTTAGTGAAAAAATTAGATCTCCGTCCTAGTTTACTATTATGTATATTATAAAGCATACATAAATTTTTAAAGGATGAGGTTTTAAATGATTATTATGTAGTAGTATCTGAGTAGAACAAAGTGATAGAATAGGCTTCATTATTTTTGAAAATTTTAAATACTTATCCAGGAATTCTGTAATCATCAGGCAAATACCAGCAAATTAATAAGATTTTCTAGTGTTAATGTTATTTTTGCTTATGAATGTGACTTCTGATTTATTAAAAAGCTTTGAGATGCATGTTGGTAAATAATCAAAGAAAGTGTCCAAATACGCACTTTGCAGAATCGTAAACTTTTAATTAAATTTTTTGTTGTGAAATATGTCATCTATATACGAGAGTGTATAACGATAAATAAAGAATTATAATAAACCAAAGGCTCATGTACCAACTATACAGGTCACAAAATAGAATATTACTAGTACCTTGAAACCTCTTCGCCTGGCTCTCCCCAGTCAAACCTATGTACCTAACCCTCCTCCTCCGCACATACCCATTATCTTTTTAATCATTCATTCTTTTTTCCTTATATTTTTACCACTACATATGTATCCCCAAACAATGCAACACTTCCCTTTTTCCTGTGTTCAAACTACATATAAGATGGATCATACCATATGCGTTTTCTGACTTGCTTTTTTCACTCAGCACCATCATTGGAGAGTAATCCGTGTTCACGTGCATAGCTCTAGTTCATTCATTCTACTTCCGTATAGTACATCATTAGAGGAACAATCCACAACTTAGGAACCGTTCTGTTACAAAAGGACATTTTCATTGCATCCAGGTTTCTATTACTATTATTATGAACAGTGCCACCATGCACATTTTTGTTTCTCCAGGTATATATCCAGGAGTGGATGTGCTGGCTCATAGGGGGGTGTCCAGCTCTACAACGTGATGCCAACAGTTTTCCAAAGTGATTGTATCCCACTGTTCCCTTGAGGAAAATGCATGAGAGAAGCCATCGACTGGACTCCTTGCCCGCACCTGGTTTTGGAAAGCTTTTTTATTATTGCCAATCTGTTGAGTGTGAAAAAGTATCTTGTGTTTCTAATTTAAATTTTCTTGATTACTATTAAGGTTAAGTATCTTTATATGAATTTATGACTCAGTTTTGTTTCTTCTTCTGTGCCATCTGTTGATGTCTTTTGCTCATTTTTCTAATAAATTGTCATTTTATGGATTCATAGAGTTCTTTTATATTCTAGACTGTAATCTCTATGATTACATATGTTGAAAATATCTTCTGGGGCACCTGGCTGGCTCAGTCTGTTAAGCGTCCCAACTCTTGATCCCAGCTCAGGTCTTGATCTCAGGGTCGTGAGTTCAAGCCCCATGTTGGGCTCCATACTGGGCATGTTAACTACTTAAAAAAAATCTTCTCCCAATTTGTGAACTGTTTTTACCCTCCCTCTATTTTTTTGCAAGCAATATAAATTCTTAATTTTATTTTTTTTAAAGATTTTATTTATTTATTTGACAGAGAGAGAGAGCACAAGCAGGGGGAGTGGGAGAGGGAGAAGCAGGCCTCCCGCGGAGCAGGGAGCCTGATGCGGGACTCAATCCCAGGACCCTGGGATCATGACCTGAGCCGAAGGCAGGACGCTTAACCAGCTGAACCACCCAGGTGCCCCACATTCTTAATTTTAATATAATTGATTTACCAATCAATGGTTAGTAGTAAAGAAATCCTTTCTTACCTCAAGTTCATGAAACTCTGCTAAAGGTTTTAAAATTTCAAGTTATATATTTAGGTCTTTAATTTACTAGGTTTTATTTTTTGTGTGAGATTGGGATAAGTTCACTTTTTCTTTCCAGTTGATAACAAATAGCCCAAGCACCGTTTATCGAATTGTCCTTGCTCCAGCTGTGGGAGGGCTGACAACACGGCCTCCGTCTGTGGCCCTCCGTGCTGACCTCCCTTGGGACTACGTGTTCCAGGCCCCATGGAGGATAATGTATGCCCTCACTGGAATGGGGGCAAGCTTGTTCTGATCCGCTCTGAAGTGGCACACAGAAGGCCCCACTTTAGGTAATGAGTATAGACCCTCTGGCCCACAGCTGGTGCCCATTTGGATAACTACCCCGTGACCTCACCACCACGCCCCTGCTCCATAAAGCTGGGGATTGAGGGTCAGACAGGGCGAGAAGTTGTGGAGAACGGCGGTTTGTAGGCTGGGTCCTCGCCCTCCCGAGTCCTGGTCGGTGAGTTACCCTGCATAATACTGTGTGGGTGGCGGGGAGTGGCTGGCTTCGTTCTTCAGTTTTTCAAGTGACTTCTCAGGCTGGAGGATACTTGACTGGCTCTCCTCCACTTTCTAACCACTGGCAGGCCAGGCAGGAGAGCGAAAAGGGAACCAGTGTGGGCAGAGGGGCCACGGAGGGGAGAGGTCGCTGTCGGGAGGAGTTCCACACTGGCCAGCCACGGCCACATGGGAAGACAGCCAGGTCTCTGCAGCTTTTGGGACCCGCGTGTGAGTAGAGGACGCCCAGAGAACACCCAGGGGATCAATGAATGAAGTCTTGCAGTAGCCTGGCCATTGCTGTGTGCATTGTGAGTCCCTGCAGCGGGGGGAGCCGTTGAGTAAAGAACGCACCGGACAGAGGAGAGAGGTGTTGGCTCTGGGTGGGGAAAGTTCTGCCGCAGAACTGGTGGAGCTAACCAGCTGCTTTAAGTGGGGGTGGGGGGCCAGTGAGGGGTGGCAGCTTGGTTGTTGAGGTTGGGGGGTACTGGGGGACATGGGGTTGTGTTGGATGGGTTTGGGATGTCGGGGATGGCCTCAGCCGCTGTTCCACCTGCCCTGTGGTGGAGATGGTGTGCGCCCGCGTGGGTGAGAATCGCGGGCGCTTAACTGATTTGATCAATTGGGTAAACGCTGCAGTAAGATACCCTAGCCCGAGGAAGGGCATGTGCCCTCCCCTCTATCGTTACGCTGGACTTCTGGGGAAGAACTTCATGGAATTGTGTGTGAACGGGGATTGAAACTTGCCTTGCATGCCCAGCATTTTAGAAGCCCAAAGAATTGTTTTCCTCTGGTAGGAAAGACCAATCTCAGAGTCAGCCCTGGGGCATGGTTCGGGACTTCTCTAATTTGTCCTCGCCCGTGGCTAATTGGCCCATGGTTACAGCGGCCTCTACAGGGGCTGATTTAAGTGGAACGGAAGGAATCCAAGGGAAAGAGAGGGGTTGAAAAAGGAAAAAGAAAGGATCCTGCCAACAATAAAATGGCAGAAAGGGGGCCCATCGAGGTGTCTTTTAAGCAGTTGTGGTGAGATCTAATATCATCTGGGACCCCGAGAGAAAATCTAGACAGACAACCCAGTTTGGTCTTGCCAAGACTGTGGAAAGGCTTTGCCCGAAGGAAGGCAGTTCATTCCCTGGAAGAGGGCTCGCAGAGGAGTTTCAGGCCTGGATACGCCCGCGCCCTGCAGGCTAGGAGTTTGGCCAATTTTGCCCTCGAGTGCGTGCGGTAGGGGGGCCACCAGAGGCCCCATGTGGAATTAACCGTGTATTGATCTCATGCTAACAGGCTGTATTGGCTCTAATAAACACTGGAGCTGAATGCACACTTATCTATGGGGACCCCTCGAAATTTGAGGGAGACATACGGGCTTTTGATGGTTATGGGGGACAAACTATCTAGGTCAGACCAATTAGTCTGTACCTACAGATTGGCACGCATAACGAGATTACCACCAAAAGAGAATTACAAAGGTGGGGTGGGGGGGATCAGACCTGCTCAAAGCCCATTCAGTAGTTCAGTTTGTCCTATAAAGAAATCTAATGGGCCCTGGTGAAGGACAACAGATTATAGGAAACTCCACAAATTTACCCCACCTGCCCATGCCACCTAATGTAGCCTTATTGTTAGGGGAAAACAAAACAAAACACCACGGCATCCATTAAGACCCATCCTTTCATACTGGGCCTGAGTACTGCCTTTTTCAGCATTCCACTAGGACTTGAATCCCAAGACCAATTCACCTTTCTGTGGAATGGGAGACCATGGACTTTCCAGGCACTGCCCCATAGTCCCACAATTTGTCACAGGATGGTAGCCAGAGATTTGGAAAAAAATGTTGCCAGTGGAGATGGTGCTTTATCCTTCTATAGATGATGTTACCTTGTGATTTATCCTCCCTGTCTCAGGCAGCCATACCATTACAAGCGTACTGAGTCCTGAGGATGGGAGGTAAATACCAACAAGATCCAAGGACCAGGTTAGTCAGGAAAGATCCTGGGTGTTCATCTGGGCAGGTAAGACAGAAGTGATGCTGGGGGTGGTCGATGAGAAAATACAAGCCTTCCCCAATCCCTAACTTGGTAAAGGAATTACAGGCCTTTGTTGGTGTTTTGGGTTACTGGAGACCTTTTTTCACTATCTAGCACAGATAGCAAGACCTTTATAAACCTTGGCTAAGAAAGGAAGCCAATGGGGGGGGGAGCACCTGGGTGGCTCAGTCGGTTAAGCATCTCGCTTTGGCTCAGGTCATGATCCTGGGGTCCTGGGATCCAGCCCTGCATCAGGCTCCTTGCTCAGCGGTGAGTCTGCTTCTCCCTCTGCCCCTCCCCCACTCATGCTCTCTCCCACTCTCTCAAATAAAGAAAACCTTTAAAAAAAAAAAAGAAAAGAAAAGGGGGGCGCCTGGGTGGCTCAGTCGTTAAGCATCTGCCTTCGGCTCGGGTCATGATCCCAGGGTCCTGGGATCGAGCCCCACATTGGGCTCCCTGCTCCATGGGAAGCCTGCTTCTCCCTCTCCCACTCCCCCTGCTTGTGTTCCTTCTCTCGCTATCTCTCTCTGTCAAATAAATAAATCTTTAAAAAAAAAAAAAAAAAGCCAATGGGATTGGGGTGCTAACCAACAAGAAGCTCTCTTAAAGTTAAAAATGGTAGTAAATCAAGTGTAGTCCCTGGGGGCGTTAATGCCAGATGTGAGTTATGAATTGGATGTAAGCTCATACCCAAGAGGGTTTGGCTGGGACTTATGATAGTGGCTAAATGGGAAATCTGGTTATTTGCATAAATTCAATGAGAATGTGTTCTTACAATAGGACACCACTGGAAACACTGGTTATATTACCCAGGCTGTGGCTGAAATGTCCTATTTGAGAGAGACCTGCAAAGGCTCAGATGACCAGATGGCTTTAAGGAACTAAGGTGGATTATTACTTTTTTTATGGAGCCAATGAAGCCCCTTGGGAAAAATCTCACCCTGGTACCTTGCTCACAGAGTTCCGAGGAGCATTATCAGGTGAGTTAGGAAGGTCACGTCCTGGCAGCCTCAGGAACCTCAGGACACGTTAGGGACTTTGAGAAGAGCGGAAGTAACTCAAATCTATAGATCTTGAAGGCGAGTCTGATGGCATGTGTTTGGCTTGGCTCTTGGCCTTGAAAGGCTGTTAGGGGCTTGATCTCAAATTCCTTATGAGTTTTAAAAGAACTCAACTTGCTGTTCTTGCTGCACTTATATAAATAGGCCAAGTTTGTTGAAACTGGACTTGTTTTACGAAAAACCAGAAATCAGGATGATTTTAGAGAGGGGGAAAAATTATTTCAGTAACACACCATTATAGTTGTTGTTAGATTCTAGTTCTGATAATTATCCTTCATATATTTGTTTACCTATAAAACCAGGCTGGATCCTGCATTCTTCTGGTTTCCTTGTATATCTGGCTAATTTTTGACCACAACAGGCCTGACTTTGAAAGCCCACTGGCTGGACCACCTCCTGAAATGGGGCCACTGTTTAACTGAACAGACCTAATGGACCTTGTTATGAAATGTGGAATAAGATGCTAAGACTATACACGAGAGCACCAACATAATGGCTCCACGAAGGATGGGAGCTCAGCTTCGTACTGGAGAACATTTGCAATGGGCTGCAAGGCAGTTTCATTCCTCAAATCCCCATCTACGCCCCCTTTCAGCAGGAAGTAGTTAGAGTGATCATCGCCCCTCTCCCTCAAGAATGAGGAACGGTGAAAAGCCGGGGGTGGTACTGTTCGTCTCCTGTTGGTGTTCCATTACCACTGTGGCATAGGGATGCAAGTCCCTCCCTCTGGCTCTAGGGTCATCACAGAAAAATGGTATGTAAGAGATTATACAGGCCATAAAGAGTTCAGGGGTGGAGGGTAGAATGGCTGACAACACGGACTCCATCTTTGGTCCTCCATCTTGTTCATGCCCAAGAGAAGACTTCCCTAGGGGTTACGTGTTCCTGGCCCTGTGGAGGTTAATGGAGGCCCTGATCAGAATGAGGGAAGTCTTGTTCTGATTTTTCCCTAAAGTGGCACACAGAAGGTGTCCCTTTTGGTAACTGGTAGAGCTGACTGGTGCACAGACCACCATGCCCCTCGCTCCATAAAACCTGGGGACTAAGATCTGGACTGGGCAGAGAATGGCTGGTTACCACCTGGATTGTCTGTCTGCCCAATGCCCTATCATTAAGTTACCCTGAATAAAACTCTGTAAATGGTATGGAGCAGCTTGCTTTGTTTTTCTGTCTTAAGGTGACCTCTCAAGTTGGAGGATACCTCACTGACCACCTCCACCTTCCAAAACCATTGTTTGGCAATGCCTGCCTTGTATGCGTGGGTTATTTCTGAGCTCTGTTTTACCCTTTGGCCTATTTCTTCATCCCTGCCCTAAAAACCACATTGTCTTAATTACTATGGCTTTATAATCTTGACACCTAGAAGGACACCCCGTTCTCCTTTGTAAGGACTGAAGGCAGGCTGCCCCAAGATGAACCACTTTGGCACAAATGTTATTCTGTGCTGAAGGCAATCGAGACCTTAAGGCTCAAGAGAAACTTTTGCCCTTACCTACATAGAAGAACCTAAATTGGTGGGTTTCCCCTGAGTAAGCATTATTAGTAGAGAGAAATTTTATTTGAGTGACCCATCTGTATGGCAGGGCAACAGCTCTTCTTAACGCCCTGTGAATTGGATTCCTTTCCTCTGGGTGTCGGACACATACCCCCTTCTCCTTCGTTCAGGATGACCTATATACTTCATTTTGCTTGACTGCCTTTGGAATTTTCATGTCTGTGTGGATTCCCCATTTGTACGCTATTAAATTTTATTTTCCCCTGTTAATCTGTCTCCTGTCACTTCCTAGCCCAGCTAGAAGGACCTGTGAGGCCACAGGAATCCTTTCTTCCCGACAGGTGGCCTAGTCAGAACACTTTAACTCCCTGCACACACCCAGACGCTGCTGCAGCTGAACAGTCCTTGGGAAATCTGACTTATGGCCAGCAGGAGGTAAGCTTCCCAGAATATCTGTCTGCAGAGTCCGATGGAGAGAGAGGGGTGAGAGAGAGTCCTTTGTTCTCTTTCTAAACTTAGATTAGCAGGAGAACATAATTGTGGAACTGGTTCCTCTTGGGTTAAATTGGGTAGCGTGCTCTTTGGTTACTGATCCACTTCCTCCCAGAGAAGGATGGTTTTTCCTTTGTCTGTGTCGTAGGTTGTCTGTCCTCTGTCGCTAAGGGGACATGTTGACAAGCCAAAGCTGCAAAATTGGTGGGCACGGGTTGAGCACTTGAAAGCTATAAGCGTGCTCACCACCCCGAGAAGACCCCAGTGACAGGGTACGTTGGTTGCAGGATGGGGTTAGATGGACTCTAGGTCGGCCGCCAACCTCAAGAAAACATGCGTGCTGGGGTCCGTTGTAGAACTCACATAGTCCCCAGCCCTCCCACACAGCCCTCCCTGCGATTAGTGTGGCTGCCAGAGACCCAAGGCCTAGAGAAAGCACTTACAATTGTTTTTTCTTTGATATTCTTCTATGTCCTGAGAGCTTGGCTTTCTGACCAGTGAGAATATCCTCTTTGGTCTCCCCCCTCCGGAGGGTGCGCTGCCTGGGATGTACCTTGGTGGCCAGTTGAATAGACCGGGGACCTGAGGCTGTCTGGCTGGCTGTGCCCGTTCTTAGGGGTGTTTATCATGAGAGGTTTCAGCCCAGCACAACCCTTGTCATCTCCACCTTCACTGCTCGTTAGTGCAGGGAAAGTTCCATTCCAGAAGCATCTTCCCATGTGACAAGGGGTGTCTCACATTTTCATGGGAGATCGGAGACCCCCATTTTCACTACATTATCCTTGTAGCCTGTGAAATAAAGGTCTTTGCTTTCTTAAACTAATTTCCGGGAGTAAACTTGCAGATCGTGGGTCTGCATCCTCCGTGCCTCTGGATGCCTCTTGCATCTTTGGTTAAGCCATTAAAAGGCTTGTTGGCATGGGTCGCTATTAATAGATATTACTCCTCAATGGCCAGATGATGAATCCTTTAAATTGGTTATATTTAAAATGGAAAGTTCTCCATTGTCTTATTAGTATAACAGCTAGCCTTAGGGACTCCCTTGATCAGATAAAAGAACAAATTAGACCTGAAACAGAAATGTCTCCATCCAAGGTAAAGTCCCCCTCTTAAAAATCTGCCCTCATCTCTGCCTGTTTTAACTTCCCTTTCCCTACAAGATTGACAGATCACTCTGGCCTGAATCTCTAGGTTTGAGGTAATAGGTTGCATGTGGAAATGCTAGAAGCCAGAAAATGAATTTAACAAAAGTGCCTGAGACTGGCAAGAAGGCTGGCTTTGCTCCTACTTTCCCCGGGCGCCGGAATCGGGCTCTGTCAGGCCTTGGGCATTTCCACACAACATCCCTTGCAGGTGTATCCTAGCCTCCTCACCCCTCACCCCCCACCCCCCACCCCCCACCCACCTCCTCTCTGGGCAAGAATTCACATCCCTAGACTGCAGCGGAGTTTTTAAGTTATAAAGCCTTTTACCTCTACTTTCAAAAGCTTCTTCTGAATTTAGAGAGGAACTAGAAAAGTTATCTGACTATATTTACAACCTTCCCTTTGCACAAGAAACGAATGGCCCAAATCCCTCCTAAACCCTCCTATAGATGTGCAAAAGGCTGATACTCCGGGGCTAATAGAAGCCAAGATTAAGTTATGCACCCAGGAAAAAAGGCTTTTTAAAAATGCTTTATACAGACTTCATAGAGGCATAAATCTTCTGGTTCCCATTTTAGTTAACATTCTTCCTGATAGAAACAGGCAAATTTAGTTAAAAGGATGAGCCAATCCTTTGATATTCAGGCTGCAATCCAGGTCATTGGGGAATTAGGAACAGTTGTCTTTATTTTACGAATCTTGACAAAACCAGAACTAAAATGCTGGAAACAAGTTAAAGCCCACTTATGTCTGCCAACCTCTCAAAATGCTTATAAATGTTATGAAAGATCAGGATGCTGTTACAAAATTGTTCTGAACTTAAAAGTAAATTTTAAATAACAATTACCCTGAAACTCTAAAAATTCTTTTTTTTTTTTTTGTCCATTGAAATGATAAATTTTATGTCTTTGGAATGTAAACACAGCCCACAGTCTCCTGAGACTGAAGAAAAAGAGGGAAGTATTCAAAAATTGCACCTGTAATGACCTCTCCATAAATATTAGTAGAAACAAAATTAAGATTTTGTTTGCATCTTGTCTGTATTTTTTTGTATGTCCATGTATGTTGTAAATAGATTTTTCTCTACCTCCAGATAGTACTGCTAAAATTAATTCATAAAAGAACTTTAGTTGGTTTGAAAGCAAGCACTTAGGATTGGGCATCCTAAAACTCAGAAGAATAGAAACGAACCCAAATGTTTCTCAATTTCATGTGATTTGGGAAAATATTTGGTATTAAAACTAATTTAAGGTGGTTGGTTTAGTTAGACCTGTATTTGGGAGTTAGCATTAAGTATAAAACTTATATTCCGCTTGTGTTTACTAAAAGTCAAAGCTCATGGTATGTCTTGCAAAATTTGTCAGAAAATGTTAAAATAATGGTTGATGCCTATCTAATGCCTCATGAAGTTTTGTGGGTAGTCTAAGCATAAGAACAAGTGAATTAGACGTAAATAAGAAAACTGTGTATAATCTTTTAAATAGCCTTTGGTAACCTAAGATTTTTAAGTTTTGCTAAGTTAAATGAGTTAATTTCATCGATCATCCAGATCCTTTCTAAATAAGATAAACCATGTTCAGTACTTAATGTTGCATTATTTTATCTCCCTTTGTCTTGCTACAGAGAATCTAAAGATAAATTTGGGTTTGTTACTAAGCCTATGCTTTACTGAAAGACTCATGTAGGAAAGAAGTCAGGGTTCGGAGCCGACAGCCAAGAAAGAATTCTTGAGACGTCTTTGATGCAAAAAGGTGATTTTATTAAAGCACAGGGACAGGACCCATGGGCAGAAGAGATGCACTGGGGTCATGAGGAGTGGCCCATTATATACTTTCAAGTTGGGAGGGGGTTAGGGATAGTGTAAGTCCCTAAGGAATTTTGGAAGCAAGGTTTCCAGGACCTTGAGGAGGCTGGCTATTGTTAGAAAAAGGTCATTTATTACTGTCTAATAAAACCCTAGTCAGACCCTTCAGATATGCATCGATGGGCCATATGCTTGGGATGATTGCCAACATGTATCTTGGTGGGTAGAGATGAAGGAAGTTTCTAAATGAATTTTTATTTTATTTTTAATTTTAATTAAATTTTATTTACAGTAGATTCACAGGACCCTGGGAGTCAGGCTAAGATTGCCTTTTGCCCTTAGCAAAGTATTAATTAACATCGAGGCAGCTGAGTCCCTAGAGGAATGTCACTCTGCCTGTTTCAAGGACTTGTCAGTGGGCTGTAGGCAGTAAGGAAATTTAATTATTTTTGCCTTTGCTTCTCACATCAAGACTATACAATGAAAAAATGTTTCTAAAAATTGTGAAATATATTCATAAATTTGCCAGTGTAAAGAGTTCTGGTGTAATAGTTCACAATTACTTACTACTTAGCTTTCACTGGAAATTGAGGTTTTGAAGTATTAAGAATTCTAATAAGTAAGACTACTGGAAATGATAAGGGAAACAACTCTGGAAAGTAAGGTGTGGTTTTTTAGGTGGTTTTTTGAGAGAAAGTCTGAGGAATAAAAATACATATTTGTTGGGGAAAAGAAAATTTTGCCCCAATTTTGAAAGAGGGAAAACTTGGGACAAAGTTTAAATGTAAGTAGCGAAGAGGTTTATCTAGAAAAATCTCTGGAAAGAAATTTTGTGTATAGTCAGTACTAGCTAAGAGGATAAATTGAAGTAAATGAGTTTTAATATCAAAAGTATACTTGATGTGGTTTTGGAATATAAGTGAGGTTCAGTGGGGTGGAGTCCAAGCCGATGACCAAGGAAGAATTCTTGAGATGTCTTTGGTGCAAAAATGGTGGTTTATTAAAGCACGGGGACAGGACCCACGGGCAGAAGGAGCTGCTGCCCCAGGGTTGTGAAGGATGGCTGATTATATACTATGGGATTAGGGGAGGTGAGGGAAAAGGGAGGTTTTCAAAAGGATTTTCATATGTTAAGACCTACAGGATACCGGAGGCCTTGCCATTGTCAAGTTAAGGTTGTTTACCCCTCTAGTAAGGCATTACACATGAAGATAGTTGGGAACTTCCTGGAGGAACATTGCACTTTGCCCATTTCAAGTATCTGTCAATGGGCAGCAAATTATAAGGACATTTAATTATATCTACATTTCCTTCTGGAAGCTAGGTTATTGATAGAAATGTTTTGTTCTTGTAGATTGCTAAGACTTTTGTAAACTGAAGGAGACTCATGTCTTGCAGGATTGTGATCTCTAGAAGTTGTTTTTCCTTTCCTTTAGGACAGCCAGGAGTGCCTGAGGAATGTCACATATATCCCATGGGGCGGGGGAGGTCGTGGGGTGTCAGCTTCTGCTTTGTCCTCAGCTTGCCTTCTGTTCCCTCATCATACTGATGGAAAGTTTTTGTTTTCTCTTTAATAAAGTTTTCTTGGGGTACCTGGATGGCTAAGTCAGTTAAGCATCCAACTCTTGATTTCGGCTCAGGTCATGATCTCAGGGTCGTGAAATCAAACCCGGAGTTGGGCTCTATGCTCTGTGGGGAGTCTGCTTGAGGATTCTCCTCTCTCTCTGCCTCTCCTCCTGCTTTCTTGTGTGTGCGCTCTCTTGCTCTCTCTCTCTCTCTCTCTCTCTCTCTCTCTCTCTCTCGCAAATCTTTAGTTTTCTTGAACTATTGGTCTGCTCTTCATAAGAAATTGTAAACAAGTTTTTCTTTTTAAGTTATCTACCTAAAAAAATGATTGTTTCCCATAATAATTTGCTATACTTATCAGATCTTTGACTACTTAAGAAAATGGAGTCTTAAGAGTAAAATCACTAAATTTTGCTCACAAATATATA